AGCTGAAATGACTGTTTTCAGTGTGTGGTTCCCCTGTTGCATGCAGCAGAGTGTTCCTGCACACCTACAATTAGGGGTTTTTTTATAAGCTTTGCTATTGTTTTGTCTCTAAAGGCTTTTCTGAGAATTTGGGTCAGGGTGAAATGTTTCATCCTCCCCCAGCAATGAAGATAGAAAGGATTACAGCACAGACAAAATAAGCGCTCAACTGATAACCAACACACAAAGAGTCCTGCCAGCTCCAGCCTGACATCATCACGTTGCCAGAAAGAAAGCTGTTTGTTTGAAAAAGGCAAAGAAAAGGCTGCCCACTGTGTTACAAAAATGCTATTTGAAAAGATAATCCCTTCAAATTCTGACATCAAAGCCGATCAACTGGATTTTAGATTTTAAATATTTGTGATCTTTCGTATTGTCTGACAATATTTACAGTAAATCCCGCTGTACTACAATTCAATCAAAGTTCCTTTAAACCAGCAACAATGGTTTAGCAGTTTCAGGCATGTCCATAAACAGCCAATGTGTTATATTAGAAGTTACTTTGAGCAACATCGTGAACAAGACAGGTGATATTCAGGATTTTCTTACTGTTAACAAATCCCATGAAAAGGACAAAACCAACTGGTGTCACCTGTGTGCCCAAAACATCTCGTTCCTCTGGGCCAGAGAGCTCCACTGCTGTTGTCCAAAACACCACTACACACACTGTAGTTTATTTTGACTCCACACTGTTCTGCTGGCAGAAATACTTACCTCACCACAAGTATGTATTAATCCACCACTGAAAATAGTCCCCAACAAATGCACTTTGTACTCTTGTTTGTGTAACACTGGCTAAAAATTACAGTGCCCAGCTGCTTGGAGGCTGAAAGACACAACCAGAGCTGGAGAGGCAGAAAGTACTGAGGTAGGAGTATTTGACAAGCCATCAGTATTCCAGTTCAATTCAGTTCAATTCAAATGTATTCATATAGCGCCAAATCACATCAAAAGTCATCTCAGGATACTTTACAAAGTACGTCTAGACCTTACTATTACTATTATTATTATAGAGGAAAACCCATTTATCATTTTAACTCATCAAGAAAACACAGAAGATCTCTGTAATCTGATTAATAACTTTATTTGTTGATTTCACTGAAAGAGAGTTAATGATTGATGATGCTGTTTATTTCCACACATGTATGAAAGGCGTGACAGTTTATCATAAACTACACCGTGTGAGGCATTAACACAAAGTTGGACGGAATTTATGTGTTTATGATAAATGATCATTTATCCTCTGTAAACTGAAGCAACTGTGAAAACATACAAATTGGCCTGAGGTGCATTCACATTAGCATTATTACATATTTGGAGTGAACAGACTATTAAGCTCCATCCTGATGTGGTTTTAACAAGATATTCTTGTCTTAAATTTGATATAGGAATATTTTTCTAAAAGAAGTAGAAGCTTATCAGGTTGTAAATCAAGCTGGGATCATTGATTCTGAGAAATGGTTGCGTGGGTGGGGGAATGATCCTGCTGAGGGCATGTGGGTAATTATGATGGATCAGTATCAGTTAACTAATCAGGTCATTTACATGCTGTGTGGATTAGTGTTTGAACTGTTTATGTTGTTTTTCTTAGCTTTCCAAAAACATGCCTATTTTATTGCTAATGAAATCTTCTGTTGATGCAAAAACCAATCCCAGAAATTAATTCAAATGTTTTCATTGAAAGGCGGGCCTGCTTAATGTGTAATCTGTCTGCAAAACACTAGCATGAAGTTTTTTATATGGTTGTTTAAGCAAGAAAAATGTTTTTGCAGATTTTGTAGTGGATTTTGAGGAACGCAATAGAAGCTGTGTGTTATGTTTTACTTTGTATGTTTTCAGAAGCACGTGACCAGTTCATTTCACCTGTGTATTTAATGAACAATACTAAGGTTCCTGCAAAAACACAGAACAGCCAGGTGCTAGCTGGTGTACAGTAGTATAACATGGCATATATGTATGCAGCTTGTTTGTCATGCATGGGCCATACAGTATAGTATGTCATCTGATCTGAGTGTCTTTGTGCAGGAGCTGTTTGTATTTCTGTATTTGCTTACTTCAACAGCGAGCTAAACTGTGAGCTAAGGTGTGTTTATGCTAATTTACTTGGCATGAACAAAGACACATATCAAAAGCATTTCCTAATTCGCTGACTGGAGGAGTGTTATTCACTAGCTCACTCCTGAGTACATTTTGTTCTTTACAGGGTTTTCTTCTCTGTACTTGTGTTCTTGCAGACGTCATCCCTCAGTCACAACCCAAGTATTGTTCCAGTTCAAAGAATGTGTCTAGTGGAGTACAAAGCAAATAATTGGAAGTGTTCCCATTTTCTCCAGGGTGGTTTGGGAGGGAAGTTGTGTGGCATGGGGCAGCCAAATTTCCCAGAAAACATTGTGTGTCAACTAGATTTTAGCCTTGCTGCTACAATTTTCATGCTAGGGCTGGTATGCTACTTTATTAAGTTTAGATATTTTTTCAAATGAGAAAGTAGCCATTTTGATTCAGGATATGTGGTTAGTTTATCCAAGTAATGGCAATTTAGAAGTTTGTTCTGACATTTTCAGAGATGTAAGTAGCCCCTACTTCTAAATGGCAGGCAACCACATCCCATTCAGAGCCAAGTAGCACTCCAGCAAGAACGGTGGTGTTCCAATTCCACAGTGAGCATACTGCATCCTTACAAAGTCCAAACTCCCAAGTTCAGGAATCCAAACTTGGCATACTTTGTACTGAGAAATGCCACAGCTAGCGGTTTCCTCCTGTTTCCAGTCTCTATTCTAAGCTAAACTAAGCTACTTGGCTCTGAATGGGATGTGGTTACCTGGCTTCAGCTCCTCATTTAAAATATGAATGTGAGTGTCGACAATGGTTACATTACCTAGCACTAACCGGAGCTTTAGCTTCACTGGCAACACATTAACCACCTTCAAAGGTCAGATCAGATGCTACCTGCTATTTTTATTCGCTTTATGTTTGGGTGGAACACAAGCCTTTAGGATCACCTCAGGGACTGTAGAACAAACATAAGATGATAACATGTTTCCTCTTTTATCTGGGAACCACAGCAAGATATTTTTGAAACTCTGACAGGTGTTTGGACAGTCTTACATAGAAATGTTACTCCTACATAACACCAACACAGGAAACGGTGTCACAATGTAGTATTTAGAGTGCCTGACGGAAATGAGCTATAAACAATAATGTCCCACTCATGACTGCACCTGAGTAAAGAGTAGGGTAACCACCCAGTGCCACCCAGCCCCCCTCACACAACCACACAGAAAGACTGACACACACTTGGGTTCAAGGACACAGGAAAGAAATATCACACCTCGGTAGGCAGTGATGTCATACCCCCATTCAGCTTGGCTATTTTAAAGGTTTATGGCCAGACACAAGTGTTGAAACCCTACCGCCAAAGCTGTTGAGCAACTTGATACCACCTAAGAAAGGACATAGAATTTCAGAACACAAATCTTTTCATTCGATGAATGATTTGTTACCATGCTGTATAAAAACAGCATCGTAACTTTACAGTAGGAACATGTTCTTATGCATTCAGTTTGTCCTGTGACTTCAGTGGTTGCTGACTGAAAGCAGATTCCTCTGATAAATCTGTGATAGGTTATCTGACCTTTGTGAGACCAAACTGCTGTTCTGAGTTTGTTTGATCTTGAATGTGCTGCATGCAGCATTTTGTGTTTCCCTGAATTAACACAGCAGTTCCCATGAGCCCTTTTGACTCCCCCTGAAGAAAGAATGGTCGGTACTGTAGATGTCAGTGAGCTTCTTAATGAGAGCAACACAGCTGAGATGCATTTTCTTTGAGTTAAAAAGAAAATGAAACAACATAGTTGGGATCTTAAAGGATAATTCCTCTTTCTTGTAACATACACTATGTCTGACTTAAATACTTTTGGCCATCATTTCTGGCAGTGATGATAACATTATACTCACCAAAGTAGCTGCTAAGTGTGACTGTTGCTAATACAACGAGAGGGGCAATAAACCATGAGCAGTCAGATGATCAGCAAGGTTGTAAACAAATCAACAGTTTGTCAAGATGATCTAAATGATTTTATGTTCAAGGTAAAACTAAAAATGAGTGCATACTTTAAAAAAAAGAGCAGTGCTGGGCTGTGGGGTGAATTTGGTGTAATTACTACAGTTGGAATTACAAGTCATATGATACAAACCCATGAGGTTGGAGAAACCATAAGAATGGAGACAGTAAAACAGGGAAGAATAGGAGACAACCCCCCCAGGAGTACCAGATATTTAGAGTTTTATATCCTGACAATAGGGATTTTGAAGTGTGGACGGGTATGCCTTCATTTGGGATGGATTACATTTGATTAACTATCGGGTCCAGTGTGGCTTGGTCACGTTTCATCATCAAGTGGGGACGACAGCACTGTACGTAAGCAGAAGAAATGGTATGGTTTTTATCAAAAGGTAAAACTGTGTCGTTACTAGTTTAAGTGACTAAAATACTGACACATCATTTATATGTTATAAATCAACTAATAATATGAACTAACCAGTTTCAGTAGCATCATCTCTTTTTTCATAAATGATTATGCTTTAGATTTTGTAAGACAGCATAAAGATTGCTGAACTGTGTTTGTGGATTTCTTGACAAACATGTAATGTATTGGCACAGGTTCACAGGTTCACTCTGCAGCTGAGTCATCAGCTGCCACAGCTGGTCCTTCTGCCAGTGATGTGTCAAGTCCCAGGACAGCAATGTGTATGGTAAATGTAAACTGAAACTGCTCAAGCAATGATGTTCATTACTGCTGTTATTCACTTTGCAAACTACTCCATTTTTGATAGAGATGAAAAAAATAGATAACATTTTTACTCAAAACTCTTCTTTTTCTCTTTATAACCTCTCTCTCGGTCGGTGTGTCTCAGCATATTGACTTATGAATGTCAATTTTATTTTTTAGGCTTCCTCTACATATTAAGACATAGCAATTATTTCCCATTTTCTCTCCATCTGTATGTTAAATAATACTGTACAGTACTTGTACTTGTGTGTTTTATTTATTAGGCCCCACAGGCTTCATCAGGTTATACCTCAGCAAACATTTCTGGTCTTAGCATGTGTGCATCAACCAGTGATGTTACAAGTCCTGCAAAAAGGCCCAGGCTGAGTATTTCAATGGTAGATATTACCTTAAATTATAAATAGTAAATTTGATCATCTTAAATATTTTGTTTGTCATGGCCTTAATCATACCTTACAAACAGTGTGATTAGTTAGTTATAATGTATTGCCTCTCTGGATTTTATTTATTTTTCTTTTTTCATTTCAGTTTGAAAGATCAAGGTATGGTGGCAAACATGTGGCAGAAGCAAAACCAAACTTGAATGTCAAGAGGAAAGCTTTGCAAGTAAATACAGAATACAATATTATGTCTGTTTTAAATGAAATATGTTTTGTAAGAGTAACTATGACACTTCACAGACATCAAAGGTATCTGAAGCAGGTCAGGAACTTCACCATACACCTTCAGCCACTTGTACTTCCCAAAAGCCTGCTCCACCTCAGTCCCCTCATCTTCATCGGTCCATTTGCCCATCCTCCTCATTCTTCCTTGCTCCACCACCTGCACATACAGACTATTGTTCCCCAGCTTTGGCACAGGGGTGCAGCAGGTTGACCCCTGATCACAGGGTTGGCGGTTCAATTCCCATTCTTCCAAGTCAAAGTGTCCTTGTGCATGACAATGAACCTCTAGTCATTCCAGATGGCCATGGCAGCTCTGCTTGCCATTCACCACTTTTAACAATATATACCCTCAGCAGTCACTTTAGGAACACCTGTAAAACTGAACATGATCAAATTCAACAGCCCTTCCATAACACCTGTCTTTATGAAGCTCCTAATTGTTTCAGCTTTTGGTGAAACTGTTTTGGAAGCGCATACATTCAGTTATACTGTATGTATATTATTAAGTTCATAGTGAAAGGTGTTAATGTGTATATTCTTGCCCACTTTTGTATGTAAATGGGGAGGATGAAAATAGTCTCACCCCTGAATATAAACTGCAGTAAATCATAAAACAGCTCATATCACTGACAGATTCACTCACTCCTGCTCTTACAACCTCTGTTATCACATGAGGCGGCTTTGACACATTCCCTCAGGTTTATGAACAGGAAAAAGCTTGACATCTCAGTGTGTGATAAATTCTAAACAGTGGTTCTTGCCTATAGAATGTTCTGACAATGCTGGAAATAACTAGAACTTTGTTCTCAGCAGAGAACCACTGAAAAAAATAAATGACTGTGCTTCCACCTAGTGGCCAGTAGTAGGTTCTAACCACTTCCAACACCTCCATTATGTGTAGATGTGCTTAGGAACATTTTATATGCTAAGTACAAGAAACCTGACATTAATAATAATGAATAAATAACCATAAAATCTTATTAATGTAAAAGTTTATTTCAAATACTGACAAAAAACCTCTCATCTACTCCCACACATCTGAAACATTCCAAGTACTCCTGTACTTTCTAAAGTCTTAAAATCATTCCTGTGTTCTCCAGTTATTCTCTTTATCAAGTAAACCCTTATTTTTCTTGGAAGCAAGGGTGCCTCTGATTTCCCTGCAGTTATCTTGGGCCAGGATGATATATAGTAATTATGCAATAAGAGAACAAGAAACATGAACTTGTAAAATAAAAAGAAAACAGATAAGGTAAAAGCAGCACAAAAGTACTTCAGAGTACACAGCCTGTCATTTCTTTATACATTCTGGCACATGTTTATCAAAGCTGAACGAGAGAAACCCTGTGAGTTGGGTTTGAAACATACCCTGTAATTTCCTCTCGCTGAACTGCTCCGTGCAAAGCCAACCATCAAGTAGCATTCAAAGGTCCTGTCCACTGTTCACAGAACATGTCATCTGCCCATTTCTTTTAGCAATCTTTACTTCTTAAAGGACAAAAAATGTAGACTTTTAAACACAAGATGCTAAACGGTCTGTTGTCAGTCCAGTGACTTTTCTTTAAAGCTATGGCCAGATCAAAAGTTGAATCCAAGTCAACAAAAATTCTTTAAAATGCAGCGACAGAATCTGCATCAAAGTTTACCACAGTCTGAAACTGAATCGACTTTGCAACAGGAGCCATAGGACTCGATTTGGGGAGAAGGGAGTTGGACTGGTATAACCAAGAGCACAAGTGTTCTGTACAGGGTATCGTCTCTTAGATTTGTCTTTGACTGAATCAGCAGCATTTACACATTTTCATATACCAATTCATGTAGCCTCTGCAATACACCAAGATAGAGCAGAAGTAGTGTTAGACTGAAACAAGAGAGAGGAACCATTAAATCAGAAATAGCTAAAGACTATGAAAGAATGAAAAGCAGGTGGGAAAACCACAGAAATCCCTTCCTGTAGAAGTCTGTTTACAATGGCAGGAACAGAGAAAAGGAGTGCATTCATACAACACCGTGGCAAGCACATACATACAGGTCAGTTCTCTTTCATCCACTGCAAATTTGACACATTTTAAAGTTTCAATGAAAAACAAGTGAGGTTAAGAATGTGATGGTGCATGCACCCTATCACCTAGACTACATGGTGTGCATTCCCTGAAGCAGTATTGTACAAGGAGGCTGATTCCCAGTGAGCGCCAGCATCCAGTTCAGATTCTTGACGGCACACATTCAAAGTCTGCAGATTTGGTGATCGCTCCATTGAGCTGATCAGAACAAGCGGGACTTGAGTGTAGAGCACACAGTCGCACTTTGCCCCCTCACCATGTGTTATAAAACCTCTCTCTGCTTTGCCAAGTGTTAGAGCGAGTGCTTTCTGCAGGCAAGCGGTGTCCCACTTCAAGCCTGCGATGACAATCTTGGAAGCTGGACTAACACCTGTTGTCAGGCTGCCTACTGTTTACCTTCTGACACCCCTGAGATCAAAGATCAGTGATGGTGTTTCAATTTGCTATGGGAGGGGGGCATTCTTCTACAGGATGCTGGTAGCAGGAGCAGGTCTATATACCAGCTAAGGTTTTAAAAAGTTAGGCTGTAGTAATCTTTAACCAAGTTAGTGTTTCACTGCATGAGTAGCCGAAGAGGGTAAGATGTCAAGGGAACCACTATATCAAGATAATCTCCCACAAAAAAAGAGAAATATGATTTTTTTTTTTTTTTTTTTAATCCTTTAAACACAGCAAGTAGTCGTCATTCTTTTGGTCGGTCCCAAATATGTGAAAACAATTGCACATGCACCACTGCAGGGCACAACTGTGAAGGCTACGACTGTGGTTACTTCTGTCCTTTTAATGTGACCTTTGAGCAGAGATATTGAAATGCTAACTTTTAGCAATGCTTCAATCGTGGTTGCATCACTGTTCACATCTCCATGAGATCCGAACATTGTGTGAGGCAGAACTAGCCTGGGCTGCAGTTTGACTCATCTCATCACGGCGTGAGCCACATGGCTAGATGGTACCAGTTACATTGGAAAGACAAGTATACGCACCATCTCTGAGCCTGATAGCTGGCTGGTCTGGCCCTCAGAGCACAGTTTTGAGTATTATTAACAGAAACATTTATTCTATATGGAGTTTCTTCAATTCCCCCCACAAATCTTTTAGGTTCATAGTAAACATGTTTTGATGCAACTCAACAGCCACCAAACTAAGACTGAACTCAGAGATTGGTGGGGTTCCTGGTCGTTGAAAATAATACAAGGGTTATACCCAGCTGGCTCTTGCCCTGGGCTATGAACAACAGCGGGTGTACAAAGATTGTCAGGACAGCAAAAATGAAAGGAAGGAGGAAAGTGTGACTGTGGACACGTCAGCTTAGTTTGAATACTTCCAATAATTAAGACGACCCACTTCCATAAAAAAACCAAACATGTTAAACATCTTTTTTGTTACAATCATGCAGCATATTTAGAGAGAACAAGAGCAAAGGGAGTCAAGAGATAAAGCAACATGAGCAGAGAGACAGAAAGTGACTTTTAAACCCCTGTTTGAACCATGCAGGAGATGACCTTAGGTTTTGTTTGATGAAAGGTGACCGAACGGTGAGATGAAAAGTAGCTCGCATTCACTTACTCTATTTCCCCTATGGAGTCAATGAACAGAAAGGGGAACAAAATGCCCAAAGAACACTGTGATCATGGTTCCTAACTCCCTTACACACATTATTTTGGTGTCATTCAGGATGCAAAAAAAACAAAAAAAAAACAAACTCAACATACTATACAGTAAACAAAGTGCATTAACTCATCCCATACAACCCCTGCTCGATGACACACACCTACTGCGATGCATCTTGGAACACGGAAAACCAAGACATAAGGGAGGCGGTAGAGCAGAGTGTGCAGAGGGGACAGAGCTGTGTGTGGTGGAAAGGCAGAGAAAGCTGCAACCTCGTGGGCCGCCTGCATCTCCGTTCCTCCCACCCCGCCCCACCTACACACAAGCAAACGAAGTTAGCGTATACAACTCTGCCCGATATGTTAAAGCCAGTGGTGCCTGGGGATGAAAAGGAAAGAGAGGGGAGGGGGTGAACATATCTGGGACATTGGTGAGGAGGAAGAGGGACATTTTCCAGGAGCCCCAGGGGGGTGAGGGTGCTTCTGGGATGATGAAGGCTAGCCAGCTAACTTGCTGGTCACCAGGGAGGACTTCCTCTGGGGCAGATCATGCGGTGTGGGAATGTGGTCACCGGTCACCGGGTTCTTGTCAGGCCCAGCCACAGGAAGCTGCTTGTTCTTCATCTTGGCCTTGGCCATGTTGTAATCGCCCGAGTCGAAGTACTTTTGCTGTGTGAGAAAAGGTCACAGCTTTAGAAACACTGCTTACTGATTTCAAATAAGCACAGACAATGTATGTTTAAAAACAAAAAGGAAGAACAAATGTTAAAAACAGATGTCTTAATTGCTGGGGTACATTTATGGAATAAACTTAGTAATGATTTGAAGAAGAGTGATGCAGTTATTAAGTTTAAGAGACTGATAAAAGATAGCTTGTAAGAAAACATCTTTAATATGTGAATGTACATTTGTGAAGGAATATATTGATTATAGTTTGATTATTTTATCCTTTTTCTTTCCTTCTCTTTTGACTAATGGACTTCCATTTAAAAAGTGTAAACGTACCGACTATAGTAAGGGTAGGTAATATAAGCAGTAGCTTCTGTTCTGCCTACACCTGTCACCCAGTACAGCACAGGGTGGCTCTTTAGTGATTTTAGTATGAAATTTCCTGTATCTTTGCACAGAACTAGATTTGGTCCCCGATCTCTGAAACTGGAATCACATTAGGAAAGAATATTTTCACAGTCAGTTCAGACTATAAAATGACCACAGTGTGAAAACTGTATTAAGACAAACTTGAACAAATATAAATGTATCCTTTAACAACAAAAGGAAAAAAAACCCACGGTCACATTTTCCAACTGTGCTCAATATCATCAGTAAACCACGGTCACGTTTTCCAACTGTGCTCAATATCATCAGTCTCTGATGATGTGCATTCTGGGAGATATCATATGAAGAACTCCAACTCTCTTTTTGGCTTCCATCTTAGCCTGCCTCAGCTACTCCTACTCCTAGTCAGTGATTTCCCAGAATGACTTTCAACAGTCTCCAGAGGTCAGAGTTCTCCACAGCTTATAGCTACAGTACGTGTAGGTGGAGAGAGCAACAGTTTCTCCAGTCGAGGAAAGGCGATGGGTGACAGAGAGTGATGTCTTTCTGCTGTTCATACTACAAATAAAAATATTTTGTCAAATAGGCTCATCATATGCTACAAATATAGCTAGACTACATTGTGGGCTACCGAGATTTGGTCAGTGAAGAACTAATTTCCCTCTCTGCTCCAGCCGATTTGGCCCTGTAGGACTGCTGAATGGACCACAAAATGGCAGCCTAGACGAAGGCCCTAGCGCTTTCATCGTCGGAGTCAGTCAGGTTTTAGATCACTGAAATGATTTCTATGATGAAACTCCATTGTAGCCGAGCTGCAAACAATCAATATGACATTTGCTGTATATGAGGTCATTCATCTGCAGGATGAAGAAAATCATGACACAGTTATAATGTTGTTGCTGCTTTTCAAACTGTCTTCAGTTTTCATGTGAAAGTTTGAGTAAAACTGATGCATTGGAGCTCAAGTGATCGCAATACAAATATCAGATGGACCAGACAGCTGATACCTTCTCAGCACAGATGAAACGATATGAAAATTTTATATCACGAATATAGTAATCAAAGTTATGTTATCAGAAATATTACATTGTTAAAATGTTCTGAAAATGTTCAGAAACTGAAATTATAATTTGTCTTATTATATTGAAAACCACAAATACATTTAGCAACACTTTCTGGAGGTGAGGACATGGGACCAGCAGCATTACTGGATCTGTCTGCTGCATGCCCTCTCGGGGAACAGTGAAGAGCAAATTAATCAGTTATTATTATAATCATCATCATTATTCTCTCCCTCTCTCACATGCACACAGTCTTTGCAAGGAAGTCGATGACTGATTTGTCTGGGAGTTAAGACAAGGGATCGATGACTGTCTGATTTGTCTGGGAGTTAAGACAAGGGTGTAGTGATGGCTAAATCTGCTATCATGGAAACATTTGTGCAAATACTATCAAGTAAACTAAAAGCAGACAATAAATTGACACCAACAGCTTCAAACATGGTGGGTACCAAAACAAAGACAAGACTAGACTCAGAGAGTGGAGACCTCCGCCAAGGCAGCTCAGCCTTTCCCATAATGCCATTACACCTAAAGGCAATACTCCCATCAGAGGTCACGCTAGACTTTCTCTTTGTTCTTCATTTTGACGGAGAGGGTCATAAAAGTGAAGGCCACTAAAAAACTCTGCAGCTATTGTGTGTAAACAAGCAAATATGAACACTACAATTTTACTAAATTAGACAAATACCATTCAAATATGAACAACCAATTAACACAAAGTTAGGTTAACTGAACTGGCCTGGCCTGCTGCAGAGACAATTGTTTCTCATGGCCCTTACAATTTATCTGAAAGCAGAACCTGCCCTTCGCTGGCACGCTGGAGACTGGCTGAAGTGGAGCTGCCAAGTCCAAAGATTCTGACGTCAGGGAACATTTCTCTAGAGGAGTTAATATGGAATTTCCTGATCCTTAAACGCTCACTTCACCAGGAGGACTCTGCTGCATGCGATTCTTCTGCACCAGAGGTGCAGCTGCCCCTCTCTGTGACCCGTAGTGGTCAGAGATACGCTTCATGGCCTCCAGTCCATGGCTCTTCAACGGTCTGTCAGCTCCCAGATAGTGAGGTGTGCTGAGTATGGTCTCAGTTGTCCTTCATCCACCGCATCAGTTCCTCTTTATTCATTTTGCTCTTCCAACGCCATAGCAATTACTGGGCTTCTCAGTAGCCTTACTTTAAGTTAGGATACATTAGGGTAAATTGCCCTCTGTGTTCTAATCTGTCAAAATGACAGCCTTCAGATTTTTCTGAGATTATTAAAAAAATCCCCATCAATGATAGAAAATATTTGGTTAATATAACCTCCAATTCCTATGATAGTTTAAGCCCCATCATACAATTCCTTGACTATGAAAACCTTCTTCTAGCATTTGGAATCAGACTGATATCATTATTAGTTTTAAAGTTATTTAAGAAAAACAATATTTCAGTAATGGTGATTTTCCTCAGGATGCAACGCAGCAAATTCTGAAGATACATCAAATCTGCTGATGCCATACAGAATCAGCAGAGGTTCAGCTAGAACTTGATCTTTTTCTCAGTTACTAACATACAGAAGTCAAAACTGAAATCACATTATCAAAACTCTTCACACCTAGTTTTACAAATATTTTACCTACAAAAAGGGGCCCAGCTCTCTTATAAAAGCTAAAATACAACCACACTTCAGACTTAGTCTTCTTAGAAAGCTGAAAAATCCCTGGAGCACTGCCACTGCCTCCTCAACACAAGTTTTCATTGCAAAAGAACACACGCATGTTGGCCGTCTGCTGCGCCTGTGTCTGGCTGACTGCTGCTAACTTTAGCTGAAAGTGGACACGAGTTAACCCTTCAATGGGGGAGTTTTTCAAATCATGGCAATCAGTTACAGTTTTAATGATAATTACATTTTGAAATGATAATACTAACTGCTGGAAATTTTAAGATGGTTTATCATGAAACCAGAAACCATCCCTACTTCTCAATCATTTTGTTATGTAGGAAGGGAGTGCTGGCAGACATGAGCTTGCTATGGGGACCAAATCAGTCTTTAATGATACACAATCCTGCCTCCCCACTGTTCTGGTCTTCAACCATGTTGTGGACAAGTCGCAGTCGCCTACCCCTTTCTGTAGTCTCTTCATGAGGAAGTCTGAGCCACCGGGCTTCTGGCCCAGGCCCGGGTACTTGGCCTTTAGCTTGGCCTCCTCAGCCTTGACTGGGTTTGCATTTTTCTCCTGGGAATCCTGTAGAGACAGGAACAAATGAATATCAACACTTCTGCTTGGCAGAAAGCAGTAACCTTTAAAAATGTGTCGGCTGGTACAGCTTCAGGAAAGTTTACCCACAACTGGAACTTGTGTGACAAGCATTCAGTTATTATTGCCCTACAATTCCAAAAAATCTGCTGCTCTACAAAGACACCAAAGCTCCTGCGGTGAAGTCTAGTATGGAGCAACAGGCCACTTCACTCTTTAAACATACTAAACTGCCCTTGAAAATCTTTGCTGTGGTCTAAAAACTATGACAGTGACAGGTGGAAATTCAGAGACTCTTCATGACAGTAAGAATCACAGCATGAATGGTGCTCTGCCACAGTCTCCCATATCACCACCATGCCTGAGAGGAAATAACTCTAAACAGAAGTTGGCACAAACAGAGGCCTTATACTGTTCACTAAAAACTACAACCCTCTTTGGGCACAAGAGCATCATGAATGCATCCAATACTAGTCAATTATGAAAGAAACAAACTCTCTCACAAGTTGATGCAAATTATTTTCAACAAATCTACTTCATTATCATAGAACAATAAAATATTCCACATTAAAGAACTTTCCTTCAATTAGAAGCAATCAGGGTTGTTAATTGCAAAAGCACAACTTCTAACTTGCTGTTAACCAGTATTGTCTGCTGCTTCCTCTGAGACTGCCAACACTTACAGTAAAACTCATGAGCCTGTCTTCTGTTAATGTAGTTATGTGTTTTATAGAAACATTCTGGTAGTTGAGGTCAAGAAACAATAACCTGACTAGAGTTTTTACGACACCAGGTTACAAAAGCCTGAAGTAGCAGTTTCTTAGCGATGAATAACACTAGCCAAACAGGTCAGGTACTAGTCCCTGCTAGTCAGGTGCTGAGGCTGGGAATGTGGGCCACCAGGGCACACCTTGGTTGAGTACACACGCAATTAGCTCACGAAATAATTGTTGTAAAGAGCACATAGGACAACAGCAGACATATTCTACAGGGTATTCATGTACTCCCTGCACATGTCTCTGGAGCATGCAGTGCACAGCATCTACTTCCACTAGGATGACACTTAACCTGCAAAGCTTACTGGGCCAGGGATAAAATATGACTCAGGACACAGAAGCCAATGAACAGCCAGTTCCCTCAGGAGGAGGGGGCACATGTGGCACCAAGTGTGCTGATTCACTTGGATTCTAGATGAGAAATTTATGAGTTACTATATTCGTCCCCAGTGCAGGGAAACTGCAGAATCTAACAACATATTCCTAGTGCACGCTCTAGAAGAGGTTTAAACTGTTATGTATGTCTCCTTAATCTTAACAGAACTGTAAAGTCAAATATACACACATTTTCAATACAAATGTTTACAAATGCTGTGATACTGATGAAAATAAAATCATGGTAGTTTAAGTGGTAGTACTTTGGGTGGCCCCCATTATTTTACATAGGCAAATTTTTCAAAACAAACCAACAAAACAAGTCTGATTCCCCTAAATTGTTTCGGAAATACTTGCCAGAGAACTCTAGTTTGCATTTCAATAACTATGCATTATACTGTAATGACTGTGCAATTCTGTACAAACAACATATTGCAGTTACTGACATAAGATTAAGGTCGTGTTTATTTTTTCTTTCATCTCTTGGGCTCAAATGCTAGTTGTGCATAAACAAGCTAAAGCTGCAGAAACTAACTACAGGCCTTCAAAGTTGACAAAGACAAATCACACCGGACCCAAAATCCGACCTGAATGTCTGAAAATGCAACGAGCCAGGTGCTAAATGCTTTGCACATCACTGCCGTTGATGTGGCAGTGTATGGAAATACGGAAGTGCTTCACTTTGCAATGTTGACACTGCCACCATCAGGAATCTCAAGCCATGTGCCATTCAGGACCGAAACAGGTTTGATATTTTCAGTTCAGGTGTTTTCACTGGTTCAAGGTTTACTGAGGGAGATCGCCTATCTGTCTTTACTTGGAGGTTGTAGGCCCTCCATGGTACATTTGGAGACTCCCCTAGGAAAGGTCAATGAAGCCAGAGTTGCTGTGGACTGTCCAGTCAATGCCATAAGACAAGAGACAAAACTGAGTGATACACTGGCAAGGTGCTATGTATGGTGCAGCAGTAACGATGAAACCCATTTCCAACATAATGAACAGCTTGGGGAGGATCCACATATCTTTCAAGAGGCCGCACTTGCCGTGGTGCAGCGCTGAATATATTACACACTTCACTCCTGCTAGCTGATGTTAGCCTCTTCTAGCTAGCATACACGGGGGTTAGCCAACAACAACAAGACTGCAGCCAGAAACCCACCTGTTTTTCGTCCTCGTAGTCCACTTGAGTGTCCGAATCCAGGTTTTCTGACGACATTGTGTGAGTGTAATGTGCAAGCAAGTGTCCCACAAATGTCAGACAACTCAAAGGGTTTGATATAAGAGGTACCGTTTAATGTACCTATACTGAATCTAATCCTCCTTTTCTGAACACGACTGCGCCCCAACAAAAATGGCGTAACGAGATGTGACATCACCGTTGTGGCTGAGAGGAGGGCGTAACTTTGATTGGCACATACAGTAACCACTAAAAGGACCGTAATGGTACATTATAGAGCCAATAGTATGCCGTTAACGGCCCCATTCTTTGTAATTGACAGCCCATCGGCCAATGAGTTCACCACAAAAAAGAGACTAGGGGCGATGCGGAGGCCGCACTGCATCAACACTAATCACCGGAACAAAACAAAAGAAATATAATCAATGCAACATACTGATCTTAATTCTGTGCGCACTTTATTAAAATGACGAATGAACATCACCAACATCAGTTTAACGTTGTGCGCACTTTATTATAATGGCAAATGAACATCACCAACATCAGTTTAACGAGAGGATCGGGAACCACAGTTGCTATTAATTTTTGTCTTTGCAGTGCATGTAGGATAAGCTGACTGCTTTGTGATTGGTTGCTTCTCGGTGACCCTGTTGCTGCCTAACAGTGAACAGTTAGCGGGAATTGTTATTTTGAGTTAACAGATACTTTGCTTGACTCTTGTTGACACAGTGATTCTATTGGACTTCTATTTTGATACAGTTTACTTTTTTGGTTGTCGTGTAAATACAAGCGAATCGCCAACAGATTAGGTTAGAAACTTTTCAGAGACAGGACTCAGTCTTTCTGTGAACGAAAATAACAGGATACTTAACGCTAGCTAAAAAGCTAACTAGCAGGATTATGTGGTTCTCACGTCATCTCTCTCTGTTTTTTCTGCAGCTATTTCTTGTTTCTCACCAAAGCCATGGCGTGTATACAAGAAGTTAGAATTTCACAGGTAATTAAAATTATTTTAAGTTCAAACAGACAAACTAGCTGCTAACATTATATATTTGACGTTACTGTTATGTGATTACATAATACAGTTATTTGGTTGGTTTCAAGACAGGCAAATTAAGTAAATTTACTTATCCATTTTATTTAGGTATAATTTTGGGGTACTTGTGTACTTTCATTTTATGTTTTATTTTATGAACTGGATTACATTTGTTTGAGAGATTTAACTACCTAGTAACTCTGCTGATTCTGATCAGTTACTATTGAACATTGGTTCATTAGTCATTAAGTTCATTAACAAACAACTTAAAGGGGTAAGTATATTTCCGGAGGCATTTGTACATTTATTTAAATAAAATGTTTATCACAGGGCTCTTTTGTGTAATGGTACTTTTATTTTCTGATATTGTTATTTTTACTAAAAGTAAATTAATACTTCTTACACAATGGGTTCATAAAAAGTAAAGATGTCACTGGTTTCACTGTACATCTTTAGATGTGATGGGCTGTATTACTCTATTATATTACATCAGAGGTTGTAACAATGTTAGAAATTAGTATTTGACATTTTGTAAAACATGTGGTAGCCTTACGCTTTCATGTGCATCTGTTGACTGTTTAGATTTCTGGTGTTTTTGTTGACTGTGATGAGCAAGCAGCACTCAGTCTGTTTATGTGTCTCACTCATGCAGGATACTCAACTGTTGCCTAATCAGGTTCTGTCAGAGCAGCAGTCCTTGGTTGTTGTAAAGAAGCTTCTGGCCATCGCAGTGTCCGGCATTACTTACCTCCGGGGACTTTTCCCAGAGAAAGCCTATGGGAGCAAATATGTTGAAGGTTAGATTACACATGGAAAGTCATTTGTTTGCACATGGCAGTGGTTAACAAGTTCTGTTCTGTTTACCATTTGGACCTATCTACTTAGAAGATTCAATCATTACCTCACATTTTTCTTGTTACAGATCAGAAAGTGATGATTCTCAGAGAGGAGCGCAGCTGTCCCGCTGCTAGTCAGGTTGTTCAGTGGTAAATAACATCTTCATATACTGTATAGTTTATATATTGATATCCTGTAATTAGCTGTAATGTGTCTTTGGAAGATATTTACATGCAATAAAAACCATGGCCAGAGGTACAGAAAATAAAAACGCATACATTGTGATTTATTACTGTAAAAATGTAGCATTTACATCATGAAAAAGCAAATATATTCTCTATAATGATGTTACACTGAGCAGTAGCTAGGTCTAAATGGTGATAGTGTTGTGATTGTGTTGGCAAAATGACTTTTTAAGCAAAATTCAAGACTATACAAATATGTGCTATTGATAAATTATTGTTTATTTTTATTTTACCTGCCATAACATTTTAACAATAAACAATTGTATTATTGTCACTTCAATCCGAAAGATTATCTTAACAATTATTTTGTATTTTTTCATTTATTTCATTCGGTTTTATGTCTCCAGCCACAGTCTACAGTCTCATATGACACATTCACACATAGACTAAAATTCCAGAACACTAGGTTTTACATGTGATGGCGACTCAGGGTTTACTGATCTACAGTAAGTAATTATTGTATGTGGAAGAATGTTGGAGAGTAACTTCACTGTTAATTAGATGTGTTTTTCAAATTCTTCCAGGATACTGGGATGCTTTGAGGCCATCCAGAAGAAATATGTAAGTCAAATTCGGTCTTTTCCAACAGTCATAACATTGTTACTGTACACCTGGTTGAGGGAAGTTAGGCATCAGAAATTTACATTAGCAGTGAAGGAAGGCTTGATGCATGTTTTTCCTTGTGCCTCACAGTAACTAACATGCTCAAAATTATTGTCATTTTTTTCCCCACCAGCTGCGGACAATTATTATGTCTGTGAGTATTTTGATAATCTTTTATTTCTAATGTTTGGTCCTTTTGAATGTATAATTGAAATGAACACATCATCTCCTCAGGAAAGCAGCAAATACTAGGAACTGAAATTATAACTCAGTTTTTGACATTAAAAGATTTTTAAACTGTGATAAGTCTTTTCTACAAGGGCTTACATAAATATTCATGGTGCCGGTGTTTTATCTATTTGGCCTTTTATCAGATCTACACTGACCCAGAGAATCCCCAGGTAATGTGCAAGTCTGTCTTCTTGTTCAGTGCTGTTAACCTATTATACAGATAGCTGATTGTATTTCTCCAGTTTATCTTATATTACCACCTTTTTCATTGTCTCTTTTAGAAAGTGACTGAGTTTTACCAGTTTAAGATCCAGTACACTGCAGAAGGAACACAGATGGACTTTGAAAGGTGAGATTTGTTGAGTTTTTCTTCTATAGTAATAATAATAATAGTAGACCGTACTTTGTAAAGTGTCCTGAGATGAGTTTTATTGTGATTTGGCGCTAATCAAATCAAAATTGAATAAATTGAATTGAAAAGAAAATAAAGTATGAATAATCTCGAGCTTGGCTCACTCAGCATGTTTGAACCTCAGTATGGCCTTAAAATCGTAAGTTGCCTCAAAGTTGGAAAAGAGTATTCCATATTATGAGACGTCATAGAATAGTTTTTTCATTGATTATCTTCTTGCATTGTTACATCAAAAAGATGTCTGCATGTTGTGTTTACAGTATTGTGGGAAATGTTATCATCTTGACTATAATATAAATAAAATTGTATTGTTGTAAATATATTTTGTTAAGAAAAGATCTTTGAAAAATGGACTTAGCAGACTCAAGAGATTTCATTCAGTGTCATATATTTGCAGCATCACTGTGCTACAACAGCAAACAGCAGTGAACTGTGTCAAAGCTCAGTTTACTATCAGTCTCTCCAATAAACAAGCTTCTACTACCTGTAAAGTGTGATTGTACCTTCTAACTTCACATCTGCAGATGATTTCTAAAGAACGTGTTGGGAACCCATAGCAGCTGACAGGGCAGGCACATTAAGCATGATTCGTGGTCGTTTTTCACTCTCTCACTTCCTATTTGTACCAGCAACAACAACAACAATAAGGCGTCGACCCTGCCTTGTGGCAACACCAAGAAAGCCAGCATCCTGCTGGTGAGGAAGCTCTACACGCTGATGCAGATCCTTGGTCCTCTGCCAGACAGTGTGGGCCTCAACATGAAGCTGACCTATTATGACAGTGGTAGAACAACAAACACACACAAGCCAACCATAATTTTTCAAAAATAGCCAATTTTAAAAATGTAAGGAAAGGAGACATTTGTAGGTTAAACTGGAAATAAGCATCTTTTTTACACAATGTGGTGCTATATTTAGGTGTATATTTTCCTTAAAACCTGTCCAGGCCACATCTTATAGACATAACTGTATGTTTTACTTTCAATTTTTATTTTGATCATTTTAAGACTAGTCTTCTGGCCTGTTTTTCACAAAGATCATTAAATGCTTCTGCTGGGATGATTGCCAAGGCTGATCTCTGAGTAGCTGCATACAGTACTTATCTGCCTCAGTTTACAGTGTTTGAGATGTTAGGCAGAAGTAACAAGTCATTCTGCATGTACCATCTGCATTTAATATTTGGTAGCAAATATGTTTGAGTCATGACATTAGCTTTTCACACTTGGTGTAAAAGCTGCCTCATGCTTTGTTTGTCTTTGTGTCTGTTTTCCAGTCACCCCTCAGGACTACCAACCACCAGGCTTCAAGGAGGCTGATGGTGGCAGCATGGAGTTTGAGAGGGAGCCTGTCAGACTGACCATGGGCGAGGTGGTCACCCCCTTCCACAGTGTGAAGTTGGACATGGCCACAGAGAGACGAAGACTGGAGCAGGTGAAGGAAACAAAGTATAAGACAGAGGGATAGAAAAGGCATCATAAAAGACTAACTTTATAACTCCTATTTCTTTGTATTCATCTCATTTATGTTGTCATAATAATATTCACTATCTTAAATGGACAAGCTTTTCCCCTTTGTCTCCTAATCAACAAGGATCACTGAAGTCAGCACTTCTGAGCTGATTTGTAATCGGCAGTTATGCATTTTGCTAAATGCCTGCAGGTGGAGGAGAATGTGGATGTGACGGAGAAGTGGATTCTGAAGATTGAGGAGGATGGCGGCCTGTCACAGGTCAGAGCGCAAACTACTGAGACATAAAACATGTTTACACTCAGCAGGGCAAAGTTATTTCAGTTATAAAGTCATGGTTTTGACTTTATAGCACATTGTAATTTTTTTTACAAACCTTAAAAAAAAACAACAAATGATGACACAAATATGAATTAATAATGCTTCCTAACTCAAAATAGGATATTTTGGAAGAGTTTCTTTTTTTGCATTTTTTTTAATGTATTCTCATACATTAAATCATTTTATAAAGTTCATCTCCCCTTTTACACCATATTTTATATCTGCTTTGAGGGCATACACATTTTTAAGTAAAAACTATAATTTTATGTTTTCCCCTTAATGCTTTTCAGACTTGTTCCTCATGATTATTAGATGGCTTAAGGTCTTTTCACACACATAGTTATGTGAATAAATGATATGGAATAGCATTTTTTCGGGGGTGATTGTGTATATTCACACCAAACGCAATGCAATTATGGAATGTGAAGTTCTAAAAGGTCGAACTACAAAAGTCCACATCAAGCGATGATGAAGCAGCTTGGAAAGTTTCAGTGCTCGGTGCAGGGCCTGAAACTGTACAATGGCCATTTTTTGAAATGGTTCAGGATGTCTGTGGGACAGTTTGAGGAGTTGTTGCTGCTGCTACAGCCGTGTGAGTGAGGTAAAATATATACTGAACGCCATTTTAATAAATAAATCTGGTAGGTTTAGCTGATGGGCGCATGGTGCTCTTATGGTAACAATGTAGCAATGTTCCATGGAGCTGCGTTGTGATTGGTCACATGTTCCTCTGTCACCGAGAAAAAGTTGGAAGAAAATGTCCTTGGGGCGAAAAAAGTAAACACTGCTATTCGCTCAGAGATGTTCTGTCATTGATGTGCAAGGGTTCATTGACAGAATATTGGTTTGAAAATCATTACTGAGGTGCTAAAAAACATATGAAAAATATGCCTCCAGTGTGAAAAGGCTTTTTACATGTGTGAGTGTGCAGTTTTGTGATTAACACACAAATGGGGAAATGTTCAAATGCTGCAAATGTAAGTGATGTCTGACGTTTGAGTCGAGTGTTTTACCAAAAGCTGTTTGTTGTTGTGTTTAGTGTTGATGTTTGAACACAATGTTCAGATAACATGTTTCAAACTATAGAGCCATGTGACTGAAGATGTGGAGAAGCCCGACAAAGAGAACATAGACCTGGATAATTCTGGTAAATTCTCACTTCGTTTCATTTTATCTGAGTACATAGCAACTTTTCCACAGTTTAGTCTGGCCTTGTGTGTGTACTTTAAGGTTTTCATAATGTAAGAAATGACTGCAAGTGTTAAAGGAGATTAAACATCACTTCAAGCTGGATTTACTGGAAGCATTTTGTTATTTGCACTGTGAACTGTTCATGTTGATTTTACATTCTTTCACTGTGAATTAGTTTTCAGTGTTTTATTAAACTGTCATTTTCTTTTCAAACACCTATTTATTATTACTATTAGACTAAATAATATAGCAACCCAAACAAGGCTTGTAACAAATGTATGTGTGTGTTTTTTAAGAAATCCAGCTGAGTTGTAATAAGATCGAGAGAAGTAAGGAAGTCACAAAGGTAGGTGTCATAAACTACATCAACCCAAACACATTGTGACCATGTGACACATAAGACGATTTCAAGTTGCAGAGGGCAAGAGTTACACATTCAAATATACAGTACTATTCCTATTAGCTTGCGTCATTGGTGTTACTGTTCAAGTGGACATTGGTGGTGACGAGTCAGAGCGTAAAAGCAAAGGAAAAGCTTTTGCTTACCAAGTAAATATGGCATGAGAGAAAAAGGGTCAATAAGAAGTAAGGCCTTTGTTAAGAAGTGAAAGGTCAGTTTCTGTTGGCCATTTTGCATCTGGGCATACTGGGATCACCTCTTTTTTCAATAGCATAAAACATTTTGCAGAAAGTGTTTAACTTGGAATTGAGATGTTATAAAAACTTTAAGGGTTCTCAGTTGTCTGAAAATGCAGAATGACTGCAGACTCTGTGTAAATGTGAAGCAAAGGGCCACTTTGAGTGCACTTGCAATCGGTGGCGTTACAGACCATCTGTCCCCTCTCAGATGTCCACTCTGGTGAAGAAGACCTCTGACATGGAGGTGGACCTGAAGAGGACCAGAAGTGGGCGGATCATCAGGTCCATTACGGTCAGTTAGCCTGTTAAAGCTCAATAGCTATCATCTACTTTCACTGTTACAGCCAGACGACCTGAAAAGAACCATGTTTTGATGCACTGTTACCATATTGACTGGTTAAAGTTTTGTCCTGTGTGACTGGGTTTCTTTCATTTGTTAATTAACCAGTTAAAAGAACTTCTATCTCTGACTGCATGATAACCTTTCCAGTAGTACCCATAATGCTCTTTTGAGATTCCAGTGTTACATTCTAAAATTAAGGAGGCTTGTTTGTGTTTGTGCAGCAATAGTTGTTTAATACATTTTTCACAATTAACTGCACTGATGGTTAAATGCATTAACCTACAACTGGGCTGTTTTACCGTTATGTATGTAAATGTAGTTAGGGTAGATGGAAGAAGTGAATACTATAATTTAAAAACACTGTCCACTTGTTTTAGGAATGTGCCATTTGTTTTAGTAAACGGTTATATAAATAGATTTATAAAGGTTAAAGAAAATTTATTTGATGAGGACAGAAAGATGCTGAAAAAGTTAAAGTAAAACTAATTAAAAGTGAAGCTTATTAACACAGCAATGATCCTCTCTTTTGGCTGGTTTGTGTGTGTCTGTGTCTGTGTGTGTTGGGGGGGCGCAGGATTCAAACCTGACTGTGAGCAGCAACAAACCGAAGAATAAAATGGTGAGAAATTTGTTCTTACAGCTTTTATACGTAAACCCTAAGCAGAATCCATTTAATATACATAATTTAATATGAATATGAGGGTATAAATAACAATGAACTCGTTACTCTGCAATTGTACTGTATGTATGGTTAACAAGTTTAAAACGTTAAGGTCCCAAACTATGTCCAGCTGTTAAAAAGCTTAACTGTGAGTGGAAAAATACCCACACATGAAACATAACTAATTTTGGAAATAAGACATAACCATTTTTGTTGGAGGGTGATAAAACAGATGTACTTTTGCATTAAAAAAGTGCAGCAGTTTCTGGATGAATTCTGAGGTGGAAAATGCGTAGGAATCCTGCTTGTTTCACGGATGAGTCAGCGCTGAACGCTTTGGTTTTACAGAGTGAGATGTTGTCTGGCAGTCGACATATAAATACTGTGCTTGACATTTGTCAGCTGTGTGTCTTCTGTTTTCAGCTTTCTCAGTTTGACATCCCCGACAGCCAGGAAACGCCATCCACCTCTGCACCTGAGAAAAAGCGCAAATTCAGCGAGCCCAAAGAACGCTACTGACCTCACACCCCCCTGTAAATACAGTAGCACTGCTTTATTGATTTATGTTCTAAATTGCAAAACTGAAGAAAAAATAGAGAAAGTTAAGTAGCTGTTTTTTCCCTCCTTTTGACAATGTTTTAGCAGTAGTTTGTCACATAACTCAATGTATAGTTCATTGAATGGAATGCAGATGTTAAAGGTTTTGCTACTATTTAATATCATTCATAAAGTTGGAACACTTAAGTATGTTTATCTTGCTTTTTATTTTACCTGTGTACAAAGCTAGTTCACTGAATAAAATTTGAAAAACTGCATTTAAATGTCATGTGGGAGGTGTGACTGTTTTGTACAGTGCATCCAGAAAGTATTCACAGTGATTAACTTTTTCCACATTTTGTTATGTTACAGCCTTATTCAAAAATGGCTTAAGTTCATTATTGTCCTCAAAATTCTACAAACAATACCGCATAATGACAATGTGAACAAACGTTTGTTTGCAATATTTGTAAATTTATTAGAAATAAAAAAACAAAACAAAAATCACATGTACATAAATATTCACAGCCTTTACTCAATACTTTGTTGAATCACCTTTAGCACCAATTGCAGCCTCAAGTCTTTCAGAGTATGATGCTATCTATACGCCTGGCACACCTATTTTTGGGCTTAGTTTCTCCCATTCTTCTTTGCAGTACCTCTCAAGCTCCATCAGGTTGGATGGGGAGCGTTGGTGCACAGCCATTTTCAGATCTCTCCAGAGATGTTCAATCGGGTTCAAGTCTAGGCTCTGGCTGGGCCACTCAAGGACATTCACAGAGTTGTCCTGTAGGCACTCCTTTGTTTTCGTGGCTGTGTGGGGCTCTGTTGAAAGATGAACCGTCGCCCCAGTCTGAGGTCCAAAGCACTCTGGAACAGGTTTAAATCAAGGATGTCTCTGTACTTTGCTGCAGTCATCGTTCACTCGATCCTGACTAGTCTCCCAGTTCCTGCTGTGGAAAAACATCCCCACAGCATGATGCTGCCACCACCATGCTTCACTGTAGGGATGGTGTTGGCCAGGTGGTGAGCGGTGCCTGGTTTTCTCCAGACATGAGTTCAATCTTTGTTTTATCAGACCAGAGTTTTGTTTCTCATGGTCTGAGGCAAACTCAAGTTTCACACAATGTCCAGGTAAAAGTTCACTTTCTGGTAAGTATTCAAGAGCAGTTTAGGGGAGCAACAAGACTCAGGTAAGTGGCCTGCAGGTAAATCAAACAGGTCAGTATGGGGAGCAGGCTCAGTAGTAGCCAAAGGGGCAAAACAGTTCATTTCCAAACTTGCAGGTTTAGGCAAACAGTTTAGACAAGGGGCAGACATAACCAAACGCAGGATAATCAAGGGTCTGAACACAGGTGAAATCCAACAGCATCAACAGGGCAGGCAAGGTCAGAGTCCAGTGGGGAAACGCATTTAGAGGAAACAGAAATTAATGCTATAACATCACACAAGACACAGCTTTGTAGACAGTCTGGCAGGGAATAAATGGCTGCTGGCCTATATACATACTGAACGGGTGATCACACAGGTTAAAGGCAGGTGAATGTAGGTGGGAACTGGGCGGAGCCAGTAGTAAGAATGGAAAAAGTGAACAAGGACAATGGGTTGGGTCTAAAAACACAGGCTGGAAACAACCCAGGCAGATACTGACATGGGCTATGTTTACACTACAGGCATTAATGTTCAGTTCTTATTTGTTTGTCAGTTCTAGTCACTTTCTGCTGATGGTTCACATTCATGTTGTGAAGTGACATATTCACCTCATGTTTATTACTGTGTGGGACCAACAGTAAATGATGACAACAGGTTTTATGTGCAGAGACGACACTGGAAGGAAAACATGAATCAGAACTCGCATCATCAGAGACAGGGTATGAATTGGATAGGAGCATATACTGTATGTGGCCCAGATTGTATTTGAAAAAATCAATTTGGTTTGTTCACATTTCTGTGAAAAGATCAGATGTGAGTCACTTGGAGGGAAAAATATTGATTTGGGTCACTTCAGCAGATGTGAACGTATACTGATCATTATTACAAACAAATATGTTATGTTCAGAGTAACAGTTTTGACTACACTTCCACCTGTGTAAACATTTTTTTGTTCTGTTTTTATTTCTTTGCTCCTGTACACACATAACCAGTGGTGGAGGTATAACACAAGCACAATGCAGAGATTACAATCTGACCATGAGGATGGCATGTGCCAGAATTTTATGAGTCATCGTTTTATTAGCTGTAAGCCGGTAGTTATAAAGGAAGCTTGTGATATAGATATTGTGTGGGTAGACGACAGTTTAACTGAAGCTTTGGCTAACTGCTATAGCCAACTGCACAAACGAAGTATGACAACTCTGCTGCAGAAGTCTCTTTTTGTTGTTTGAGTATAGGTGATGCATTTGTGTTTTGATATTTTATCTTTTTTCATTATGACCTTGTGGTCTGAAATGAAGTGAGCTGACAGAAGTGCAGCCCTGGAGGCCACGTAGTTGTGAGGCTCAGTGGCTGCTACAGACACCTGCACTTGTTTCTTAGTTTCGAAAAAGGAAATGCAGTTGTCTTATGCAGTTTAAAGATTTAACAGTTTCAGCTTGCTGCTAGTAAAAACCTCCAGCTTGTCCTCTGGGATACAAAATTCAGCTTCTTTTGCCTCTTGAAAAACAACTGTCCTTCTCTGAATAGAGCCTGAAATGCCACCATTTGCATGTGAGGTGCCTTAAATGAAGCTGTTAAGTGAAAGTGGATTATATCTTTACACAGTGACCTTTGGGCCCAGATAAGGGCCCATCGGCAGCCTCCTGCCCGGCAAGCTGTGTGTTTTTAATCTCCCATTGTTTTTCCCAGAGAGAGGGACATTTGCTGATAGACTGCCTTAACCCACTGCAGATCGATAGTGCAGGAAGCCTTTGTGATGCATATCCAAGCAGCCCCCTCTCTGTGTCTGCAGCAGGCCAGAGGGCGGAGAGAAAGTGAGACTCCATCAAATCAGCCCTCACTTCCTAACACGGGCATTGTCTTGGCCACCGCGTTTATTTCATTGTCTCTTTGTTTTTATGGGTATTTCTGATAATGGACAAGTGTAGAGCAGAATGGACTGGGAAAGCCAAGGTGGACAATACCCACAGTGGTGCATGACGCTTTTTATGAGCTGTGAAATGAATTAGGGTTACCTCACCTCACAGCCCTATTCCAGTGGCATTTTTCAACGCCTTTTATTATTTTGACAGTAGGGGGTTCTCTGGATAAGTGATGCAATGCAGTGACAGTTAGGGCACCTTTGCAGGTCTAGTCATGTGTTGTAGTCAACCACTGTCTCTGCTATAGACATTACAGCAACACCATATCACAGAAATGAACCGATAAATAGCACCCTTGCGCAAAATGTAACCAATGGCATGAAAATAAAAAGAAGCATACACGGGAAAATACACATACTAAGAGACTGTCTCGTTTGGCACCACCTGGAGATCAGACATTTGAATGGGCAAAGACTTGACTATGCTCCACTTTCAAATACATCTAGGTTGAAAGTGAAACAACAACATAAGAACATTTTATGTGGAGACCAGTGTTCCCATCTAACATGTTCCAAGGGGGAAAGGAATCTAAATTGCAATTTTGTTTTGCCTCCACCCTCAATCCTTCACTCGGATCCTGGGACTCTACATCATGTCTGTACACACGTCTCCCAGAAATGAATTCTGAAATTAAATTCAGGGACATACGTCCAGCAGCCACTGTTAACAGATCAATCAGCTGGTCAAACAGTAGGAGGTGCCCGCTGGACGCCTCTGCAGACCAATCAGAAATCTGGTTCAGGCTGTTGGAGTCGATAGCTCGAGCCCAGAACTGCCTGTGTACAGTAAGGACAAGACCCACTGACAGACTGATGGACAGACAGCCGCAGTCCATCCCTGGGCTCCACATAGATTAACGCCAGCTTCTGTGAGCCTGTAGTCGCTATGCGGTGATGTGCCTGCAGGGTCTATAGGCCCCAAGGGGGTGGCTGGGCTTTACAGCATGAGGGGGAGGAGCGAGGGATGGAGTGGACATCCAGCCCAGGGACGGTGACCCGTTTGACCTTGCCAGAAGGGAAGCAAATGCTTCCGAGCTGATTAGCGCTTCCACAGCAGAGGACCAGGCTCACTGTTAACCCTTTGGAATCAGTTAGTAGGGGGCACTAGAGGAAATCAGGAAAATATGTAGTTTAATTACTTTGAGGGAACATAAAATCAGCATAAAACAAACATTAAGTGAATTCAGATATTTGAGAAAATGCCAAAGAAGATCAAACGTTCTTACACAATTGTTTTACACAATTAGATCAAATAGCAACACAATGAGTATTCCCAGGGAGCAGAAGTAACTAAATACAAGTATGATTTTGAGACACTTTAACTTACTTGTTGTTCCTCTTATGATCATTTGTGCTTCTAATTCACAACATTTCAGAGTGAGATTTTTTTTTTTGGTAAGGTACTTTGCAGATCAGCCTTTGACCAACAAAATATATGATATCAGACTATGATGTACATTTATAGACCCAAATAGATAACATTAACTCCATCTTAAAAAGCATAAAATGAAATAAAAATGAGTAAAAACAGTGCACTTGCAGTTTCAGATGTGATAAACACCAGTGGCAACAGGAATAGCTTAAAGCCTAGATTAAAACAATTTATTGTTAGAGGCAACCTCAGGTTTAGAACTCATAATAATTAGCTAATTAAGTAAAGTTTAGGTTATAGTAGTGTATGTTTACCTTGTTTACCACTTTTAACTAAGTAGGGATCTAAATGCATCTTCTTCTATTCTTTGTCTACACAGAGAGTGAAAACATTACTGTAACAACAGAAGATGAATTTACAAGCCGCAATGAAATATCCAGAACAAACACAAGGGGGAGATGAGTAGCCACAGAATGAGCTGCAGGAATGACGTCCCAGCAGATAACTACTGCTGCCTTGTGTCATGACAGAAAAGCATCTTCTTTCTCATGCATGCCTTAATCAGCTCGTCGTCTACAGTTGGCCTCCCCACACTGTACACAATTTAAAAAGCATGTGATCCCACTAAACAGCCAACACGAGGCTATTCAACTTGTCTTTTGACAGACACTGCAGTGGAGTCAACAGTATTGATCCAAGTAAGGAATGATAAAAGGAGGGGAGGCTGAGAGCAGGTGGTAGTGGGCCAGCAGATTCAGGGATTTAGTTACTCACTGGGCATGTATGGTCAGCACGACTGCGCTGCGAGGGGACCAGTAGCTGCTCGAAACAGATGC